ATATATATATATATATATATATATATATATATATATATATATATATATAAATAATATATATATATATATATATATATATATATTTAACACTTACTCGGTTAACGAAATTTCGGTTAACGAACTGCCTTCCATAAGGATCTTCAATTCGGTTAACGAACAAAAATTCGGTTACGAATTTCTTCGACGACCTCAACATGTTTCGCTTACTGGCCGGGCAACCAGCTTTAGTATCAGTCCGAATACATTAATCGGTTCTAGGGCTTAAATTCTAACTATTTTAGTAAATATCAAGAAGTTTATACTATTCAATAATTTTAAAGTTTAATATTCAATTTTTTAGTCATTTTAACAATTGGAATATAATTGATAAAAAGTGACTAGTTTAAGCGCAGCATCAGCCTCTTAACACAAACAGGCGTTAGTCTCTCTGTTTTCACTGGGTAACATCTTGCTTGAGACTCTCTTCAACTAAACCTTTTTCTGTGTTTCCAAGTAAATTATTGGTCATTTTGAAATATATTTTACATATTGACAATATATAATGCAGTACAGTGTTGATTTAAAGAAAATAATCTTGAAATACACCAAGAGAACTAAATTTTATGGGTGAAATGGTGCCATGGGGTGACTTCTCTTCCACCCCAATGCCTTCTCTTCTTCTTCTCCTCCACCCCATTGTAATTCCCATCATCATCATCATCACATCCAGGACTTCTACATACACACCTCAAAGTAAGTGAACTTTTCTACCATTTTTTGAATTTAGGAAATTTTAATTGAGCTGGAACCAATTACCAAAACCCTTGAAACAATGGTTTTGGTTATGACAGTTGAGTTAGATTAACAGTACTTATATATATATATATTATATTATATATATTATATATATATTATATATATATATATATATATATATATATATATATATATATATATATATATATATATATATATATATATATATATATATATATATATATATATATATATATATATATATATATATATATATATATATATATATATATATATATATATATATATATATATATATATATATATATATATATATATATATATATATATATATATATATATATATATATATATATATATATATATATATATATATATATATATATATATATATATATATATATATATATATATATATATATATATATACACACACACAGTACCCGCCTACTTGGCGGTTTCCTTGCGTTTCCTTATCTGTGATTGCCTGTGCCAGAAACTTTCACTTAACACGGATTTTTTACATATAAGCTGAGTGTCCGGCTCGAGGCGCTATTTTAGATTTGCCCTACCCTACACCCTGCCTGACTGCCTGTTTAGCTCATAAAATTCATACAAATTACCCGGCCAGAATATAATTTACATTGCTGGAATTCTTACAATTTGGTGATCATTTTGAATATAAACATCATATATTTTGCATTAGACATAAAATTTTTAGATATAATGTTTAGTCTGAGTAAATATGTTATCTTTTGTGCAAAATATATGACATTTATATTCAAAATATTCCTGGTCTTACAAGGAATCCGGCAATGTCAATTATATTATCCTAACTTTAATCTGAGGTATTATTTAATACTAAATGTTAAAATCTAGTTTTTTCACCCACTCTTTCTCTTGAAGGGAGGGTTGGTGGGAGGTGGGGGGGAGGGTTGGGACGGACTGACCATCTGGCTGGTTGGAAGAGGGGGGGGAGGCAAGGTGGGGTACTTTGAGTGACAGATAGTGTCGTGAAGAATATTTTTTTTTTGTTATTAACTGAAGATATTTGTTTTAGCTCATAAAATTCATACAAATTACCCGGCCAGAATATAATTTACATTGCTGGAATTCTTACAATTTGATGATCATTTTGAATATAAACATCATAGATTTTGCATTACACATACAAATTTTAGATGTAATGTTAACTCTGAGTAAATATGTTATCTTTTGTGAAAAATATATGACATTTATATTCAAAATATTCCTGGTCTTACAAGGAATCCAGCAATGTCAATTATATTATCCTAACTTTAGTTTGAGGTATTATTTATTACTATACCTGGTTTTCCCCAAAATTTCTCAGAGGGAAGAGCCAGCGAGTGTAGTGTGAGAAGAGGGGGAGGGAGTTGAGTCCATTATTTGAATGGACATTAGCTTGGCGACTGTATTTCTCTATTTCTCTTAAGTATTAATTGTGTGCATGTACCATCATAAAATTAAGATGTTATTTTTACTAGAACATAGGTATTGTGTTGGAAAAAGTGGAATTTGGGGGTCAGCTGGTCTCTATTTCATTTAATCCCATATGTTATGTTATTCACTTTACGCGTTTCTCACTTTCCGCGGTACCCTGTGGGTTACATTAACCGCGTAAAGTGAGGGTTGACTGTACAGTATTACCCTGCTTTACACCGTTTCACTTTCCGCGTTTTGTCATTTACGCGGCACCTTGCCAAAACCGGACTTTCACTTTCCGAGGTGCATCTACTCATATACGCGGTGAAGTATAATTTTTTTTTTTTAGCTAAAAAAATTCATACAAATTACCCGGCCAGAATATAATTTACATTGCAGGAATTCTTACAACAAGATGATTATTTTGAATATAAACATCATGGATTTTGCATTAGACATACAAATTTTAGATCTAATGTAATAATTTGGTTTACACAAAGCAAATATTTTATCTTTTGTGCAAAATATATGAAGTTTACATTCAAAATATTCCCTGACCTGCAAGGAATCCAGAAATGTCAATAATATTATCCTAACTTTAATCTGAGGTATTATTTATTACTAAACGTTAAAATCTAGTGTTTTCACCCAAACATTTCTCTGGTAGGGAGGGAAGGTGGGGGGTGGGGGGAGGGTTGGGACCAACCACCCAGCTGGTATGAGTGTGAGGAGGGGGGAGAGGCAAGGTGGGGTACTTTGATTGGCAGATAGTGTCGTGAAGAATATTTCTTTTTTATTAGCTGAAGATATTTGTTTTAGCTCATTAAATTCATACAAATTACTCGGCCAGAATATAATTTACATTGCTGGAATTCTTACAATATGATGATCATTTTGAATATAAACATGGACTTTGCATTAGACATACAAATTTTAGATCTAATGTAATAATTTGGTTTACACAAAGCAAATATTTTATCTTTTGTGCAAAATATATGAAGTTTACATTCAAAATATTCCCTGACCTGCAAGGAATCCAGAAATGTCAATTATATTATCTTAACTTTAGTCTGAGGTATTATTTATTACTAAACGTTAAAATCTAGTGTTTTCACCCAAACATTTCTCAGAGGGGTAGGAGTTAGTGAGCTGGGAAGAGGGAGTTGAGTCCATTATTTGGATGGCCATTAACCTGGCGACTGTATTTCTCTTAAATATTAATTGTGTGAGCATACCATCATAAAATTAAGATGTTATTTTACTACAACATAGGTATTGTGTCGGAAAAAGTGGAGTTTGGGGGTCGGGCCAGTCTCTATTGGAATTAATCCCATATGTTATGTTGTTCACTTTACGCGGTTTTCACTTTCCGCGGTACCCCTTGGGTTCAATTGACCGCGTAAATCGGGGTACTACTGTGTGTGTGTGTGTGTGTATACAGTGTGTGTGTGTGTGTGTGTGTGTGTATATATATATATATATATATATATATATATATATATATATATATATATATATATATATATATATATATATATATATAGTGACCCCTCCGTTAACGAACTCAATCCGTTCCAGAAGGTTGATGGTTACCGAAGTTCCGTTCTTGAAACCATTGTTTCAATGGGTTTTTGGGTAATTGGTTCCAGCTCACCGAAAATTTCCTAAATTCAACAAAAATGGTAAAATGTTCACTTACTTTGAGGTGTGTATGTAGAAGGCTCCTGATGATGATGATGATGATGATGATGATGATGATGATGATGATGATGATGATGGGATTTAGAATGGGGGTGGAGGAGAAGGAAGAAGAGAAGGCATTGGGGTGGAAGAGAAGTCACCCCATGGCGCCATTTCACCCATAAAATTTTAGCTCTCTTGGTGTAATTCAAGATTATTTTCTTTAAATCAACACTGCACTGCATTATATATTGTCAATATGTAAAATATATTTCAAAATGACCAATAATTTGCTTGGAAACACAGAAAAAAAGCATTTAGTTGAAGAGAGTCTCAAGCAAGATGTTACCTCCAGTGAAAACAGAGAGAGACTAACTCCTGTTTGCTGTGTTAAGAGGCTGGATGCCGCACATTAAACTAGTCACTTTACCTTCAATTATGTTCAATAATTGTTAAAATGACTAAAAAATTGAATATTAAACTTTTAAAATTATTGAATAGTATAAACTTCTTGATATTTACTAAAATAGTAAGGAATTTAAGCCCTAGAACCGATTAATGTATTGGCGGACTGATACTAAAGTTGGTTGCCCGGTCAGTGCAAGCGAAAACATGTTGAGGTCGGTTCGTAAGAACTTCGTTAACCAAATTTTTTTTCGTTAACCGAATTGAAGATCCTTATGGAAGGCAGTTCGTTAATCGAAATTACGTTAACCGAGGTGTTCGTTAAACGAGGGGTCACTGTATATATATGTATATATATATATATATATATATATATATATATATATATATATATATATATATATATATATATATATATATATATATATATATATATACACAGATACCTGTACTGTATATATCACACACGAACTTGAGCATGTTACAGTACAGTATGCAGAGGCTCCACCATTATAAAAGTTTGTTTATTGTTTTATTGATTTTGGTGCAGGGAGGGCAGGGATAAGAAGCTGACAATTGAAGAGATACACACATGCATACTATGGTATGTGTCTGTCAACAAATGCATTCATAAAAAGAATATTTGTAATACATCCAAAATAATGACAATCCTTTCAGTAATCAGAGTACTGTACTGTATAAAAATTGGTACTTACTGACATCGCTAATGTTGAGAGCCAGCTGGTTGTTACTACGCTGGGCTACAAACATTGGATCAGCCATGCCTCCAGCACCTGCAAAAGGTAAATCCATATCACTAAGTACAACACAGCCAAGCTCTTACCCTATCTGAATCTAAACAACATAAAATGTAACGATAAAAGTAACTATAAAAGATGTCCATTTTCTCACAAAAATGCATAAGGATGATGCATTGACAGTAAGTACAAAAGACTTACATTGTATGCCACATAACAAAGGTTTGGTTTAACTCTTCGGCTGCCAAAAGCCCGGGAATGGTCCACTATAGAGACTGTGATAAGCCAAACAGCTGCCAAGATTTGAGCATCAATTTTTAAACTGTGTGCCAAGTGACACACTTACAAACTGTGTCCCATAGCCTCTGGGTCCCTCCCTTTACCACCCTCAACCTCCCAGCTACGCCTCATTACTATACAATAAACCCACCCACTTCCAAACGAATTCGTGCCAACCCTGTTCCTTATTGGGAGGATTCCTTTTTTTCCCCATCTATACATTATATCATACAATGATAATTTCACACATCATTCCCGACCATCAAAATGCACACATTATAAGGTATACCTGAAATCAGGAATCCAAATTGCTTGGTCATGGAGTTCCTTACCAAATTTTTTTGAGTTTCCACTCTTTCTTGGATTCTACGAACATCATGTTTTCTTTTTGCATTACTGTACTGCACCCAGTACCATTATTTTAGTGTTTGTTTTGAGACATTTTTAGGGCAGTACTATACCAGACCTTAGCAGCTGACTCTGCTAATAATACCAGATAAAAAAAATGTCCCTTGTTGGGAATATCCCTTATTGAGAGGGTTTACTGTACACACACACACATTCATCATGGAGGAAGTAGGTTCGTCCCCATCTCCTAGTCACCCAGAACTGTAAGATGCCATCCCAAGATTGTCATATTAATAGCTATAAGCATAGTATACCTAAGTACGTACAGTACAGGACAATAATATTACAGGGGTCCCCGACTTATGAAAGTCTGACTAGCCAATACCCACGAGGTTAAACTTTAAATTTATAGTAGTAAAGCCTAGAATAAAGACAGTAATGTGTCCTCCAATATTGCAGTGTAAGGTGACTCATCGTATTGCGAATCATTAATTACCATTTAAATAAAACAATAATAATGAGATGCATTCCAAGTGTGACCTTTTCATATCTTTTATGTGTATTTTTACCCTCTTTTCCCCCCAAAACAATACAATTAATGAAAATTGCAAACTATATTCTTTAAATAATATTTCTGAATGCATTTTATACAATATAAATGAATAATAATATGGTCATACAAGAGGAGATGAGACACCATTGTTTTCATTTGTGTTAACAGCCGGGAGTCCGGGACGATGGTTCTACACGAGAAAATTCAGAAAATAAGACCCTGGTTGTAGCTATAGTAAAATTAATGTAAAAAAATTAATATATATGTTTCAAGTAATGTTATTTAATGTTCATAATGGAACAATAGAAGTAGCTAACCACTAATGGCAAAGAAAAAAGTGAGATGGATTGGGAACGCCAACATATACGTGTGCATTTAAGGATACCGCATCATTTATCTTTTTAAGAATATGCACAAAAGATTCATTATTGTTTATTACTGAATATTTAATTGGTTGAATTAATCTTTATAAGAGCGAAATGAACAATACAATTCATTAATAACACGTAGAATATTAAAACACACAAGAGGATAAGAGACAGCATTGTTGTCAGTGTTTACACCCATAATGTCAGTTATCCACCTGAAACTGAAGAAAATAAGACCCTGGTTGTAGCTGTAGTAAAAGAAAAAATTGAATACCTGTATGCATGTTTTAAGTACAGTGGTCCCTCGATTTACGCGGTCAATTGAACCCGGGGAGTAGCGTGTAAAACAAGAAATGCGTAATTGGAATAAGAGAACATATGGGATTAATTGAAATAGAGACTGGGCCGACTCCCAAACTCCACTTTTTCCGACACAATACCTAGTTGTAGTAAAAAAAATCTTAATTTTATGATGGTGTGCACACACAATTAATATTTAAGAGAAATACAGTCGCCAGGTTAATGGCCATCCAAATAATGGACTCAACTCCCCTCCCCCCTCTTCCCACGCTCGTTGGCTCCTCCCTCTCTGAGAAATGTTTGGGTGAAAACACTAGATTTTAAGGTATAGTAATAAATAATACCTCAGACTAAAGTTATGATAATATAATTGACATTGCTGGATTCCTTGCAAGACCAGGAATATTTTGAATATAAACGTCATATATTTTGCACAAAAGATAAAATTTTGGCTCTTTGTAATCAAAATTCTTACATTAGATCAAAAAATTTTATGTCTATTGCAAATTCCATGATGTTTATATTTAAAATAATCACAATCTTACAAGAATTCCAGCAATGTAAATTATATTCTGGCCGAGTAATTTGTATGAATTTTATGAGCTAAAACAAATATCTTCAGTAAATAAACAAATTATACTTCACCCAGATACTATCTGTCAATCAAAATACCCCACCTCCGGCTCCCTCCCTCTTCCCACGCCTGCTGGGTCCCTCCCTACCCCCCCCACCTTCCCTGCCTACCAGAGAAATGTTTGGGTTAAAACAGTATACAGGTTGACAATCCCTTATCCGAAATCCTTGGGACCAGAGGCAATTCGGATTTTGGAATTTTTCGGTTTTCTGAATGATTTATTTTATTTTATTTTTTTTTTTTTTTTTTTTTTGACCCACATTGGGGCCTGGGGGGCGAAAATATAATTATAATAATAATTATAATTATAATTATAATTATAATAATAATAATAATAATAATAATAATAATAATAATAATACAGGTAATAATAATGATTCATAGGTCTAGGTCGTGTTTCTCACTTTTATCTTTTTTTCATTCTTGTATTTCTTTGTTATTATTATTATTATTATTATTATTATTATTATTATTATTATTATCATTATTATTATTTTATTAATACAGTATTATTGTTATCATTATTATTTTATTTTGGTGTATTTTTTAATTAAAATGTTTATTTACTATGAATAATTATTATTATTATAGTTATTATTATTATAATAATTAGTATTACTATTACATTTTCGCCCCCCAGGCCCCGATGTGGGTCAGTGATCTATGCCTGGGTGGGCTAATCCCTGTAAAAAAAAAAAAAAAAATGCTCCACAAAAAACTTTCGGTTTTCAGAGCTTTTCGGTTTTCGGAATTTCGGATAAAGGGTTGTCAACCTGTATTTACATTTTTAGTAATAAATAATACCTCAGACTAAAGTTAGGATAATATAATTCACATTGCTGGATTCCTTGCAAGACCAGAAATATTTTGAATATAAACATCATATATTTTGCACAAAAGATAAAATTTTGGCTCTTTGTAATCAAAATTCTTACATTAGATCTAAAATTTGTATGTCTAATGCAAATTCCATGATGTTTATATTTAAAATAATCACAATCTTATAAGAATTCCTGCAATGTAAATTATATTTTGGCCGGGTAATTTGTATGAATTTTATGAGCTAAAACAAATATCTTCATTAAATAAACAAATTATACTTCACCCGCATAAATGAGTAAATTCACCGCATAAATCGGGCATCCCGGTTCTGACAAGGTACCGCGTAAATGACCAAACGCGTAAACAAGAACCGCATAAATCGAGGTTCAACTGTAATGTTATTCAATGTTAATAAATGGAACACTAGAAGAAGCTAACCACTAATGGTAAAGAAATAAAGCGAGACAATTGGGAACGCCAAAGTATGAACAGTAAGTATGTACATGTGAAAACATATGTCATTTCTCTACATATGAATATGAAAACCACTTATTTACTGTTCATATATGTTTTAAATAATATTTACAAATGTAAAACAAAATTCTACTCACCAATGGTGGTAAATTCTAAAACATAAGGACAGCCAATGAATATTGTGCGAGTTTTTACTCAGAAGAGGAAGTCATCAGGTTCAACTGTCAAAAATATCACCTCACCTCCCCCTCCCCCATCTGCCCAGCCAGGGTTGGGTGGTTTTAGGCTTACAGTTTTTATCTTATATAATATCACAGACTAAAGTTAGGAGAATATAATTTGCATTTCTGGAATCCTTGCAAGACAGCGAATAATTTGAATATAAACGTCATATATTTTGCACAAGAAATAAAAATTAATCACCTATATCACATTGCAGTAGTGATTTAAGACTTCTAGTGTATATGTACGATATATACAGTCATGCGCCGGTTAACGTCCTAGGTACGTTCTTGGAAACATGACGTTAACCGAAATGGACGTTGTCCGATCATCACATAAACTTTTTATTTATACTTACGTGTATGTGGAATACTATATACGTACATATACACTTTTACTCTTAAATCACTACTGTAATGTGACACAGGTGATTAATTTTTATCTCTTGTGCAAAATACATGACGTTTATATTCAAATTATTCACTGTTTTACAAGGATTCCAGCAACACCGAGCAGATGGGGGAGAGAGAGGGTGGGAGCGAGCGAGGGGGCCTGGGGGGAGGGGAGGTAGTACGTTTGATAGTTGGCACAGGCCCAGGTCTAACGCATGTATATTTATCAGTTCTTAGGTGACTAAGCTTCTCTCTTAAAAAAAGCCAGTGAAATGACCTGGATGAATATAATTAACATTGCTGGGATTCTTGAAACATACTGATTAATTTGAATATAAACATGCTATAATTTGCACTAGACAAAACAATTTTAGCACCGTAATCAAATTAGTACATGTGCACTCCAGCTTTGCACTAACTCATTTATTTCTTTTACGTTTCTTTTAGTAAGGTGTGTGCATGTAAATGGATGAAAATAATGAAGAAATTTATGTAAATCTACCCAAAAATACAGTTGAAAATCTTTTTATAAAATGTACTACAGTATTGTACACTAATGTACTACATGTTTTATATCTTGATCAAAATATATGACGCTTATATTCAAATCAATCTCTGTCTTGCAAGGATTTCAGCAATGCAAA